GTCAGTACATGGAGTATTTTGGTCAAAATTTTTATCTTTGGCTCAAACTTCAACTTGTTAGCTCTTTTAATTAGAGAAATTTAGTGCACTATTTTAAATTGCATCAAAGGGATGGAGAAAATAGGGATGTCACTTCCCATTATTGACCTGCAGAACTATGTGCAAGATTGGCTGGGGGAAAAATCATTGTGTGAAACATGAAAAATAATTATGATCACAACTCTGTGAGAAGGCATGAGCTATGTTTGAAGAAGTGCACCACAAATGCAGTTAGCAAGAAAACTCATGATGTCTGACACTCAAGTTATTATCCATTGGTTTTATTACCAATGTGAGAAATTTTTCCGACAATGACACTAGGTAATGGAATATACAGGACGCATTTAGCAGTGCTCTACAATGAACCAAAGTCAACCCACCTTTATTATGCTTAACAAAGTTTTCTTGTGACGTGACAAAAACTCCAATGTGACTGATACAGCAATCCCTTGATTAACGCGGTTAATAAATCCCCGAGTTGTACCGTGTTATGCAAAACCGCGCTAATCAAACTTAAGAATATATGGGAATAATTATAATGAATCCTCAAAAATAGCAAAGTTACATAATATTTTTTTTTCCACTAAAATTCATCATATTTTTTTCTAAATAATAGGGGAAATAAATAAAAGAAATGCGAATGAATTAACATTTATTTTTTACTGAAAAACTAATCCAATTTCAATGCACAGTAGTATTAGATTTCTTTCTCTCCTGCATAATTTTGCAATAGCAATTCACTTGCCTATCCAGGCCACGGCAAACATTCATGCTTCTTTCTTCATTTGGGTCTCTTTCTCTTATGATTTCTTTAGTTTTTTCAATTGCAGTGAGTAATTCTGCAAGTTTTTTACTAGAAATATCTTTAGGAGCTGTTTCTTTTTCTTCTGTCTCCATTTGAGTTATGAATGAGACAAGGCGTGGTTAAACTGACTCTGTAGTCAGCACGAGTGCCTACGGAACGGGACCTTATTTAAAGAATTATTGGCTGAAATTCATAAAGTAACAACATTTGGCCAATTTTTCCAAAAGTCATAACAAAAGTAACAACATAAGATCTAATAAGCAAAAAGTAACACTTTTGTTACACCTCTGGCTAGAGGCGGGAAAATGATGCGTTGTGAAAAAAGTCGCGCTAATCAAAACTGGCACCGCGTAGATTAAGGGTAGGTCGCAAATTTTTTTTCTGCGGTAATCAGAACCGCGGTATTCAAAACCGTGCTAATCAAGGGATTGCTGTATTAGAGTTGACTTCCCGCAACACAAAACGGTAACAAGTGGTTGTTTAATCAAATAATGTGTTTCTAGATGGATAATATTGAATATCAGATTTATACTTTTATTTAAAACCTTGTAACATAAGAATTACCAGTTGGTCCTGTCTTACCCCAGCCTCTTACCCCAATGGGGTAAGATTACCAGCTCACTTTTTTAAATCTGTATAGAAAGCTATGTTAGATGCAAAATGTCAGAGTTGTAGATTAGAAGCCCATTGCATAGATACACCTTGTGATAGGTTTAGAATTTTTTAATTATTCATGGTATAGATGCTATGGGCTTGTTAGTGATTTCGGTCCTGTCTTACCCCATCTGACTATATATATAATGTTTATTTTTGAACAATCATGAAAAGTGAATAAACATAGAATTTTCACATATACTGCGTACTGGTATACCGTAAAATGGGGTAACTTAGACCACTTTTTTTATAAATGATGCCATTTTCTTACTAGCTAAATTAAACTTGAATTGAAACATGCAAAATACAGGTCTATACTCTAGCTTCACTCACCATAAATTGCTGTCTCCTGCCTCTCATAGTCTTTATGTAATTTCAAAATAAGTGATGGTCTTTGTTACCCCAGCTCTTGGGGTAACTTAGACCGGGTGGTAAAATCAATTATATTTTTGGTAAAAACACTCCAAATAACTCCAGGTTTTGGTGCATTATAGTAGAACTCTTCTAGCTACATATGCAAATGACAAATGTCACATTTTTAATTTTTTAACCTATTAGATATGCAAACTTTTCAAATCTTTCTATTGTGTTATGTAGCCTCAGTATTAGGCCTTTAATGCCCATTGACAAGATTTTTCTATGTCAAATAGTTTTTGAGTTGTGGGGTTTTTGTTAAAAAAACGAAAAGTGGTCTAAGTTACCCCGCCGATCTAAGTTACCCCATTTTACGGTACTTCTTTTCAGTTCATGACAAATTTGAAAGTTATTTGTTTATTTATTGGATTCTAATAATGCAATTATTTTTCTTTTCAGCTTTTTAACTAAAACTTCATTCACAATGACTATGACACGCTGCTGGTCTCCATGGTATTACTATGATGATGTTAAGAGTGGGAGTTTGGCTTGTGCTGCAACTACCTCATTCTTTTCAATATTTTCAATAACTTATGTATCTTATTGTTTGGATGGTGGAGACTCCTCACAGTTTTTTTTACCCCTCTTTGAAACTGATGTTCATACAAGTAAGTTTAATTTTTATTAAAGTCTTAAATTTTCATTTGTTTCTCATTTCCAAAAATTAAATAGTTCTGTATACACAATCTTGACAAGATTGGGAGACTAGAATAAACATATCTGCAAATCTTGACAAAATTTTACCTTCTATTTTATATACCATACTTTTTGACAAAACTAGCTACCCTTTGCATGATTTTGGGTTATACTGGTGACAATTTTTCTAGAAGTTGAAAAACTGAATTTACATGACAATTTTCAACTTGTGAAACCAGAATTTAGTGTTTACACTTCATTGAGATTCATTTTTTCCTGTTTATTAATGATTATACCCATATATATTTTTCCATCTTAGCTAGTGATTCCTAGGTTTCCATGATTTATAGGTACACATTAGTCACAATTTTTTTTCACATACTCCCCCTCAAAAAACTGTCTAGAATCTTATCTCTGAACTGTTAGATTTCAAGTTTTATTGATGCCAAAAATGAAGGAAAGGGAATCTGACTCATCATTGTAATAAACCAGATTTTGTTTAAATGCTTATTTTTTCAAATAGGTAATGGTGTTAAAATAAGTTCTTTCTTGTCAATAGCTTTTACTTTGTCCCTAGACTCATTTTCAAATGTGCAGCTATGAAGAGTGCTGGAGGCTTCATGATCTTCTTCTACCTGGTGTACATCGTGTCCTCTATACTCATGGTCCGAGGTGTGCTCAACTACCATCGTGGCCTCATGCTACCTTGGCTTATTCAAAACCTTCTTTACATCTTGGCCATCATTGCCTTTGCCATCTGGCTCCAAGCATCATACTACCATAATGTAAGTATAATTTATAAGAAAAACTAAACCTCATGAATTTGTTGAAATGATTTTTGGTCTCTGGTTTTGTTTATGCTTAGTTTATAATGCTGTAAATTTTCAATTCTCAAATCTGTTGTTTACACTATCATCTTTTGTATATTTAGTATATTACGTTCAATTCAGTTGAATTATCATATATTGTTTCATCAACATTTTGTTTGGTTAGAGGCATTTCTGAAAATGTGAGCTCTATAGGTGCAGCCAGGCCAATATATTGGCTTCGTCAACTGCCCAGTGAAGACCACTGGCTAGAATGACTGAAAATCAGGGAAATCACTTGAGAAAAAAAGTAAAAATGGTCTCTAAACGTTGGGGACAAGTTGTAATTTCTATTTGGAATGGTATTCATTATGTAGGAGCTTATTTTACAACACTTCTCTATAACTTCACTTCTTGTCTGTCTGTCTGTCTGTCTGTCTGCTACAAATCTTATAATCAATATTTAACACACTTCTACTTATCCTATCGATCTGAAATTTTGCACACTTGTGTAAAGTTGGAGACAATGCATGAATCAAATGTCACAATAAATGATTTTGAAAATTAAAAAAAAATTTCAATATTAAAAAATTGAAAAAATTTGACAAAATAATTTTGTCAGCTACAAATCTTATAACTGATATTTGACACACTTTTACCTGTCTAATTGATCTGAAATTTTGCACACTTGCGTGAAGTCAGAGGCAATGCATGAATCAATTAAAAGAATAAATAATTTTGAAAAAAAAATTATATATTAAAAAAATTGATATAATAAAAAAATTGAAAAATTATTTTTTTTAATATTCGCAAATTAAATGAGTAATTCATTTTACATCTGTAAGATTGGAGACACTGGATTCTTTGGAAGTGTTGTGTTTAAAAAGTAATTTTTAAACGCATATTTTTTTGGTTAATGAATGTTTAAGGCACAGGAATGATAATCATTGAAATGCTATGAGCTAATAAGTCATTAAAAACGCTAATAAACCTTAACAATCCACAGCTGTTAACAATCCTAGTGCTCAGTAAAATGTAATATGCAGGAAAGTGAATGTGTTCATATAACAAAAGTTATCAGGCATTACAATTGAAGCATTTTGTTACACAAGGCATTGATATTGCTATTCAATAACCAACCATTGTCCATTAGCTATTGTTCATATTTCATCAATCATTAATGTGAACAGCTAGCCATGGTGGTCCTGTTATCAATCTGCTAATTAATTTGTGATCAGATAAAACATTTTTAACCTGAAATGATACAAGACAGAGGGTTTGAGAGAATGTCATTGGCAAGAGAATTGCAACACCAGGTAATGAAAAGCCAAAGCCATTCCCTCAAAGTATGACTCTGTCCATTCAAAAACACATCAGTGCTTATTTACGTAGTATACAAACCAATGTGGATGATTTTTTTAATGTTCTTAGGGATCATGAAATGAAGCAGTTCCAACAAGACTTATCCAGCATTGGTTTACATGAGAAATTGTTATTGGTTTAAACATTGAAATTAAACATTGCAATGATCTTTGCTCATCTCACAGCTGTTGTCTGTGCTCTGGTGTCTCATCTGGCTCATCTTTGCTGCTGTGCATGTAAGTCCACTGTTCATAAATATGCCACGTAGGTATATTTACTCATTTCAAAGTACTGTTTTAAACCAACTTCAACTTGTCTCTTTGCAGTCTCATATATCCATTCTGCATTATTGTTGTGTAGTTGTATTCCAAGCAAAACTTTATTTTATATCATGCAATTTATTATCTCTTACAAACTTACCACTGTTACATTGTTAGAGTGGAGCCACATTAGGTCGCTGTATGCCAAGGACATTATCTCTTGCATCCAGCAACAAGGGTTTGAGTCTCACTCTGGACAAGTTCTTTTGAACATCTCAGCTCATAGCCAACTCAGCCACTCCTCCAATTCTATTTGATAAAGGAGTCTGGCTTGTCCAGGGTGTTGTAAAATGGTACTGACAGGTCAGCGAGCCAGTGATGGTCATTAAACTGCCTAGAAATACTCAACCATCAAAAAAGCTCCAATGATCATCCACTCCCTTTTCCTAGTTTACACTACCTATATGAGCAATGCACACACTGTTGTAGTTAGGTGCCAAGATGCGAGTTTGCTTTGAGAATATAATAAATGTTTTGTACTACAGATCTACATGCACCGCTGTGTTCGCGCTCACTACGACGTCATCAAGGACATGAACGCTGCTGACATCCTCCAGATCTACGACTAGACCTCTCCCTGTCTTCCTCGTTCGTGCTGACAACTGAACTTACTTCCGTCCTTTATATCTAGCACCTACATTGAGTGTCGCGTCAAATGACGAAAATCATTGGTCAAGATATGTGGTTGGTTAGTCCTAGCTCTTGACCTCCGTCTATTGCTTTTCTAGTGTCATGAGTGGCTGTATTTCATTTTTCTGCTTCACGCCCAAATTCATTGTGACATTCATACATATTTGGAATCTTGAAAATGTATGAATTGTTTTTACACACATTTTTCAAGTTAACATCTGGGCATTCATTATCTTGGCATTTGCATTGAACTTTCAATGTAAATAATTAGACTTGAAAAGCTCAGAGAGGTTCGGAGTCTTCATAGCTGGCAGCTATGAATTGCTAGGAATGGATGTTTTGGACTTTTTCATTCCCTAAAACTTGAATTTACTCAAATTGCTCATTTTTTATCTGCCGAAGTTTAATTTAATTAAAATTTAGGGTGATAGAATGAATACCTGTAAGCAGGAGTGGTCTCCGCTCTTGCGTTGCTGTAATTAATCTGGAATTATTGGACGAGTCTACTGGCATTCACTGATTAAAATATTATCTTTAATTTTGAAGTTCTTAGATTTTATCTGAAGTTAATTAGGTTTATTGCTATTTACCTTCTTTGTAATCTCCAGCTTCTTTTTTATAATATCTGTTAGTAGTATCGTTTGTACACTAGAATCTCATCTGATGAAGTTAAGGTCAGTTTCACTTAAACAACGAGCTTAGCAGCCCCTTTGGTGAAGTTTTCTTTTCAACATGTCATCGTTCTGGCAGTCACTCGAGTTATTTTCAGATAACTTCGTATATTTGATCAAACTTACCCTTCGTATTACTTCTGGAATAGTGCTGCAAAATTTCAGAATGCGAGTTTTGCAGTGGGCTGCTTTTTATTTTATATTGTAGACTTACTAGAGTCTTCTAAATTTGATTATAATTGACAATGGTGACAAATTTACTGGCTTGGTGGAGGATAAACCCCGTCTCGTTCAAAATATTAATTTTCTGTTTTGATTTCTTACAAATTTTTACAAAGCTTCTCTGATTTCAATCCTTGACTTTGGAGTTATAAAATTACGTTAATTGTATTGCAGTCTAAGTAATAACAATTCAATTTTTAATAAAATTTAAGCTTTTCAAATTACACTTGCATTTCTTTCATTTCAAAAGAAAGGAGCTTTGATTAGAGGCGCCTAGTGGCTTTTAGATTCATTGTTTAGTTTGAATGGTTAAAACATAAGTTTTGTGTTTCTATACGATTATTTTAAGATAAATTCTTTTGCCATTATTATTAACAAAATTCATTTGTCTGTTAAAATTTTGTTACGATTAGATGTTTGTGTCTGAGCAAAATTTTTTCATGAAAATGTGATCACGGAAGCAGAATCTGAGGTGATAATGTGGTGCTGCATTAGCACATGATATTGTACTTATTAATTTCACGTAGTGAACTATTATGCTATCTCATTAATCTTGTTAATTCACATTCCCCTTGATTGTGTAGTTGACATTCAAGGTTTCTTTTGCGTTATTCTGTATTCCTTCACGAGTTTCTAATATGTACCGGAGACGCACGCTTGAGCTTGGCTTCTGTATACACCATAAGAGCTTCAGCGTAAATTCTTTTAATCATCGTGTTTAGTGTGCTACTGTATAGAAATGTACTATTATCAGCTACATTTCACTCATTCATTCTATCATTTCTGTCAACACAAAGATCTTGCGTCGAAACGTACAGACAACTTGTGATCTCGAAACAGTCCGTCCAAAGGGCCCCCACTGATGCTACATTGTAGCGGGTCCGAGTAACATTGGTAACGCCATTCCGTCCATAGATATAAGTAGTAATAATGAATTGGCTAATTTTATCAGGAGTTTTTTCCTATTATTATCATGCGTTTTATTTCCCTTCCTGTGCGTTCATCTTTCCCTGCTTTGAGACCGAATTGCATTGTGATTAAAACGAATAAGGAGAAAATTAGTATGGTGACTCAGTTTGTTATTCGTGTGAATTTCTTCATATAATTTATCGCCACGATACGAACTGCATATATTGTAGCTGTTCAAGTCATACTCGTCCAATTTCTCGCTCTAAATTGTATAACGAAACACTATCTTCCCATACATTCATTCAGAACTTTTCTCCTTACATAGCGAACAATCTTGACCGTAATCTTGCGGTGAAATTACCTCATTGATCAAATTATCGAGTCCGAGCAGAGAATGCACTCTCGTTTGTAGCACTCCGGCAACTGAGTCATCTATCCCGAAATAATTTGTATCACAGGAGAGGTTATAACGTAAAGAAAGATTAGTGTAATATTTGTGAGCTAATGAGCTGTGTTGGCTCTCACTGTGGCTAAATCCGTTGTTTGAATTCGATGTATCTTGATCATCTAGCTGATATATTAAACCTTGGATGTATTTGTCAAAGTTGGTGCGTTTGAAACCTAACATCGCTAAAACGTAGGGATTGACGGGCCGTATTGTGGATCGCTTCGGAATATTGCCTACTTGAAATTTCCTACCTGCCGAGAAAAGAGGATTGGATTGAAATTCAACTTTGCGACACGTCTCATTAATTAGATGTAGCACAAATTTTTTTCATATTCTGACTCGAGAATGGATTGGGAGTCTTATTGTCGCTGTAAAATGTGGATTTGAAGGGGTCTTTTTAGCACATTTTCTCATGGAAAAAATTGACTATTGTGCTCGCCATGCCCGAGACGTGTCTGTCTGACCGTCCGTGACCACGTTTTCGTCGACGAAAAAATGCGCTCTCTGTCACTCACTGCAGTGAGTACTGAGTTATATTTTTTACGTATATTGCATTAGCTTTATTATTATTTATAGGATTTCGAGAATGACGGAATTTGGGATAGCAGGACTTTGAAATTGCAGGAATTACTGCCCCGGAGCCGTGTTTAAACTAGTACTTCAACCATGTCCAGAGCCACCGGCTAGTTTAGAAATTGTCATCCTTATAGCAGAATTTTTGCTATAGATCCCTGCCCTAAGTATGTGTAAAATATCGTCAACGTCGCAGTTTTTCTCAGTGCTGTTGGCGTTTTTCTTGTGCATCGTTCTTCCCTACAGTTTGTATGGCGACATTAAAACCTGTTTACGAGGACTGTGAGACCGTCCTTTGCCAATAGCGTGTTATTCTATTGGATCCCAGAATCACGCATTTAAATAATAATAATCTTGGGTGGTTTGAAATATATTTTTCACAGTTATTTACGCCCACATTCTTGAAATTTGTAAATTTTGCTGATAATCTCATAATAGAATAGTATGATTTGCACATTTTAGGAGTGTCGAATATATAGAAATATTAAAAAGTAACACACAAACAGGAAGAGTACAACGTAATACACTTTTCTGTGAAAATTTCAACATAAATCAGAAAAAAGTTTGTCGGAAGCAACTTGTTTTCAAGGCCGACTGAGCAGTGCGTGCGTCTGGCACCCCAAATAATTGCGCTCCGGCCAGCATAGCAGCAAGCAGGCTAGGTAGCTGCAGCGTCAAGTGCGGTGTCAGAGTCCAGCGTTGCCAGATGGTATATTTCTATACCAAATTTCACAAATCTGGTATTTTCAGAAGGTGTCTGGTATGTTTATTTTGGATCTGGTATATTGGTATAATTTCCTAAATCTGGTATTTTCTGGCTTATTGCAAATTTACTGCATTAAGTTGACCTACCTCCTAACGTCCAGCGTATAGGCATCGATTATATATAGATTACCTTTATAGCAGCGTGACTATAGAGCTTTCCCGCCATTTTTGGACCCGCAAGTTTACCGCATGATGAAATAATTCCAATCTAATTGTTAACATTTAACAAAAGTGCTTAGTGCAATATAAGCGCGGGAGTGATGGTCATTGATTGATTACTGATGAGTGATGATATGGCCTAGGACGAGTGTCGCACCGATCTCCGCGACGCAAGCTCCACCATTTTTGTTTGGTGGTTTTTAATTCTAGTGTGCCACTTATAACTTTTTGGAGTGCCATTCAATATTTCACTGATCTTGAAAATCATCATCCATTCATAGAACTGGCTGCCTACTGCATAAATTGTCTACTTTTGCCAGTCTCCAATGCATTCGTGGAGCCAATGTTTTCACAAGTCACCTATGTGAAAAACAAGCAACGAAATAAAATTTCAACTAAGGTTCTGCAGTCCGTTATACGGACCAAAAGCTATCTGCTCAGCCGCAACAAGTGATCAAACCCGAAATGTTAGATAAATGCAATATGCAAGCATGTTCGAAAATAAGCGAAAGGAAGATGACCTGTTTCCGTGGCTTGCTTATGTTGAGCGAAGGGGTAGAATTGCCACACTGATAAAAAAAGGAAAAATTACAATTTAATCAAACACATTAAAAGAAAAGTGTCAAAATATTCCAAACAAAGGGAAAAAATATAGCTTGTTCAATTTGGCTAATTATCGTCAAGCTAGATATGGGCGAAGTACATAAGACCTAGCCGAAGTACATAAGATAATTTTATTTTCCTTTTATAACCAACATTTCTGACGAATAATTTCATTAAATTTGGACGTATGTTTTTGAGCAATAGAATTTCTGGTATATTTCAGGTATTTTGAGCTAGGCAATCTGGTATTCTCGCCGAGAAAAAACCTGGCAACACTGTGTCAGACTGTCAGAGTGTCAGTGAATCAATGGCGAGTGTGCGGTAAGGTAGTTCGAGGACTGTTGTGTCATTTTTTTCGTGTCCTTTTTAAACGTTATGATTCATGAATTAGCATTAGCTTTGTTACATTATGATTTTAAATATAATTTATCAGACAGCTGTTTTGTTTCTGTGGATCTGTTATTAATTATTTTCGAAGTATGATCGTCTATCTACAAACCAACTTTTGTACAGCATGTTAGAAAACTTGGAAGTGTAGAACGTACGCAAAAACTGTAAACAATCATTTTAGATATCAACATCGTATTAGTCATTTAAATGGGACTGGCGTAGTTGACTTGTATTTTGTTCTTGTCATACATGAGGAGCTCAACGAACATTTCGCAGTACTTTGTTAACTGTAGCTCTGTATCACTAACCAGTATCGGAACTTTAAATAGCCTGTTGTCTCCCGGCACGGCTTCGTAACACAACGCAAACTATATGAAGACGTGCACGTCTCATTTTGTTTAAGACTTTTAGTCCACCTTTCAGCCCAAATTTAACATAGATTATTAATTCTAAGTATTATAATTTGTTCTTTTCCATCGATATTTAGAAGATATTTCTGACGTTTCGACGAATTCCTTGTTGCTGGAAAAACACCAATTATCCAATGCAGTCCATTTTCTTCTTTATTACGGAATCTGGATTCTTAGAAATGAATATTATGCTGAATATTAAGTATATTTTATTTTAATGGTACAAATTGTTTTTACATTTCTTTAAATGCAAATGAAATCTTACCTTTTTAAAATGAGAACCGAACGTCAATAGGTACATTTGGCCTTCAGCCATTTTTCGTAATGATTATCCTGAAATATTATCCGTTCAGAAATAGCTTTTGGTGCAGTTATCATTATTAATTACAATACACTAGACATAATTAATATTTATCTCATGAAGAATGACGCCCGCAAGATAGTCAATCATAGACATTCTGTTTAAAAATAAGTATTTTCGAGTTTTTTCTTTAACGTCGTTGATCCTTCCTTTAAAAGTCGTAAAACGTTGAAATGATATAGAAAATGTCTTTGCTATCAATGGAATAAAAAGTCCTAAAATAACTGCAATTTTTTATCTTTGTTGAAGTTGAGCCAAATTATGGACCCCATCGGTGCCGCAACTCCACCTTGTTGGCTTGTTCAAATTGGGGAATAACTATGTCACGAGCTTCAAGACGTGATACTTTTTACACCATAGGGACCAAAACGATGCAAATGTATAGTATTCTTGTAAGAATTAAATTCATTGCGGTGCATGAAATATACACAATTATCTTCTGATATCCTTTACGAAGTGGATCGACGAAGCGTTGCAGTCTCACGTACGGCGGTATGACTTCGGCATCGCCGTGTGCGCGTTGGTAGTGGCTAACCCCGTTCCCAGAAAATGCTAGTGGCGAGCGTGCATTAATTGTTAATGAACTTCCTGAGAAAGCAAGCTCATCAATGACATGACAACTTTTGTACCCGCAACACACAAAGAGGCACCATTGATCAAATAAAGGAAGCTAACTAATCGCCGAACAAGAGGGCATGGCTTCAATGTGAGAGCCTTTTGTTCGTATCAGGACAGAAGTGCCCGCAATTAAACGCTCCGGTAAGCCTGTGGGTAACCAGAAGAGGCCTACGGCCGGTCTGAAACCAAACTGGTTTGTCCGTCAGTCCTATTACTATTTCGATGCGCACTCGGTCCTGGCACGCATCTTCAATAGGGAAATAAAGCAAATGATACGGAACTGACTATTATTTGTGATAACAATGAATAATAGTTCTTCAGCATCAGTATGTATGTATGTTAGGATAAATAGCAATTAGGTTAGAATAAGTAGCCTGTTTCGTCTCTTATACTTGTTTTGTCATTACTTGAATCATGCTCGATATAGTGGCAAACTAGAACATTTTTAATTGCTAACTAATTAATTTTGTATTCCCTAATTAAAAGCAAATTTTATTCAACATGTAGGTATAGATGATAATGCTGGTATTCCTAATACTTTAACTAGTCTACTCGTAGGACCAAAAAGGCAGTCAGTCTCTCGTTGCCCTCTATGAATGTTATTGGCTAACACTCGTAACGCTACACTTACCTCCGTAACTCTACACGTGCCTCAGTAACGCTACACTTATCTCCGTAACGCTACACTTGCCTCCGTAACGCTACACTTGCCTCCGTAACTCTACACGTGCCTCCGTAACGCTACACTTACCTCCGTAACGCTACACTTACCTCCGTAACGCTACACTTACCTCCGTAACGCTGCACTTACCTCCGTAACGCTGCACTTACCTCCGTAACGCTGCACTTACCTCCGTAACGCTACACTTACCTCAGTAACGCTACACTTACCTCCGTAACGCTGCACTTACCTCCGTAACGCTACACTTACCTCCGTAACGCCGTACGACAGAAGGTTGTAAGGCTGAGAAGTCATCCGTTGAGTTTCGCTCAACATGCTCAGCCCTATAGACGTGTTTCTTGTCAGTGTACGTGTTTTTGTAGTTACCTAAATTGGAAAAGTTTGGTAGTTACTAATGGGTACCTAAATTTAAAGAACGCACGCCAGTTACTATTTAAGTCTGCGGCTGCAGTAGCAAAGTAGACAATTTTTTATTATTCGCTACCATTTTAACATGATGAAGATGTCTATCGAAAAATTGTACCAAACGAGTTGTTGAAAGTCAGTTAAATGGAAGTTAAAGTCCGTCAAATGCAGCTGTTTTTAATCTCTAACACGCGTAGGCTCTCATTGTAGTCGCAATTATGTAGGGCATCGCCCGAGCGAAAGGCTAAGTCGAGCCGACGGTCCCAACTACCATCGATCGGCTGGTATGGTAGCAGTGTGGTGCGCCGTGCTGCTGGCACTGTTGTGGTGTATGATGCCTAAAATATCTGGTTCATAATTTCAACAATTTTTGGTCGTTATTCTATTTTAATGTCGAGGGGCGATAAGAAAGTTTTAAATTTAAATAAATACTATGTAATATTTCGACTTTTCCATATTAATTTATAATGGGTAATTTTTGTAGCCAAATTTTGCCAAAGCAAACTGTGAATTTTCTGATGCATATGGAAAAGAAAACTTTTCAAATTTACTTCAACCGAGAAATTGCGCGTGTGTATGCATTCAAATACTACTGCCACCTCACACGACGCTCATTTTGTATTCTTACTCCCTACCTAGCAACGCAGCGCAGATGCAAGACAGCGCTACAGCCATATACACGTGTCTTAAGTTTAGCCTTTTTTTACGCTCAGCCTAAATTACAGGGTTGCTGCTCGCTACGTGACTCTGTTTTTGTGATAGAGTAAAAGACGAGTGTTAATGCTTTGCTATGGTCCTTAAAATGACATGCTAAGCCTAAACACTGCTTAATATATACGCCTGACCTTCTAATACTGTACGTCTCGCATGGACTGCAGTTTGTATAGCCAAAGCGTTCGACGTGCTAAGGTCATGCACAGCCTTTCATTTAAGGCCAAGTATGGTCATGACGCCAAATGCATTAAGAAGTAAGCGTGATCGTGCCTCGTAAAGTTCTTAGATTCGGTAGATGAACGTTTGATAGTATTGGGCTTCTTCTTCTACTAGTTCCTTCATAGTCGATTGCCCGAAGTACGAAATCATGTGTGGTGTAGAGCTGGTAAGTTAATTTCTTAGCGAGTGGGCGATAAGTTTCTTACCTTATACCTGTGATCAGTTGAAAATTTTGCGATCATACAAGATTGCAAATTTTTTTTAATGATATTAAATTAGTTTTGTGCCTGAAATCGTAATTTTCTGTCTGCACGATGAATTTTTACGTATATAACTAATAAATATAGATTATTTTTAGAGTGCGATTGGTAGTTTTAACATTCTAGAACTGGTGAGCTTTGGGTATACCTTTTCGAGGCAGCTTACGAAATAATGGGCATCAAGAATGTACTATCCTATTTACTTAGAATTTTTAGCTATGATAAATTCGTTGTGCATTGCATTTCAGAAGTAAGTAATAATTAGATAATAGAACAATACACGACTAGTGTCTCAGTGAGAGCATCGGCGGCATGATCCTGCAGCGCCTACTGTTGGCCGGCCGAGGCGGCCTGGCCTGTCCCGGCCTGCGGCTGCAGGCAGCTTCTCGCCGGCACCGCAGCGCCAAGCCGCGCACTGCCGAGTACCGGCCCATCAAGAGCTTGCTCGTCGCCAACCGAGGTATGTGCTCTACATGTTTACTTAGGAAATGAACTAGCACTTAGATTACCACATAGTCACCACTCGAGGTATGGATTTCGTACTTAAAAAGCGAGAATCTCATTGGGGACCCATGTTGCATCGAATAAGTGTTCAAATGACCCTCTAAACTTGGAATGGCAGAATTTCGCAGTTCGTGCACTTCATTCCTCGGGTGCCGGCTGTATATGTAAATACGTATAATTATGTATGTATGTCCTGAAACTTGCCTTTTTATCTACCGTCATCTGAAGAAAAGTTCCACTCCCTGATAATATAAACCAACGAATTCTCCTGTCATCAATCGCACGTTATGTATGTATATATACTTATACGGTACATACACAGTGTTATTTAGGACTTGACTCCTTTTCAAGTATTTCGTAATGAACGCCTTTCTGTCGAGTTTACCTGCTAAAAAATTCGTCTATTGGTATGTATGCCATTTCTGTTTGAAAAGTAACTCTAGTACCCAATCCATAAATGCACACACTGAAACACCCCCCCCCCCCGCTCGTAACTGGAGAAATATTCTGAGATAGTTTTCCTGGTCTTCATCCTTCACGAGTTGTATCAGCATATCACGTGATATGCTGTCAAAGTTCGCACATCTGACAACGATGAGCAGTTTGTTTGTCTTGCGTGGGCCAAGAATATTTAGACATATGTGCGGCGTCCGCTCATGTCGTCAGTTCTCTTGGCGACGTTGAAATCTTTCCTTCGATGTTCAGTATGGTTATTGCTACTCTGTGATGGTCTATATAAATTAAAAATGGTGTTCATTAATTCTTAGCGTTTACTTTAACTTGATGTCTCAAATATAATTGTAAATAAGAAATGTTTTACAGAGCTATTAGGCGCGTTTCGAACGAGTTTAAAATTTTGAAAACCAGACTTGGTATAAATGAAGAAGTCCTGTATCTGACCGTGGCTCCTGCCACTGATTAGATTCAACATTTTTGCAGGGGAGATTGCTATCCGCGTTTTCCGTGCGTGCACCGAGCTCGGCATCCGGTCCGTTGCTGTGTATAGTCAACAGGACAAGATGCACATGCACAGACAGAAAGCGGACGCGTCTTTCCTCATCGGGGAAGGCTTGCCCCCCGTGCAGGCTTACCTCGACATCGACGAGATCATCAGGGTGGCTAAGGTGAGTTCTGCTAGACGCATTCCGTACTGTGTCAGGAACTGGCGCGTGCCGTGATGTCAGGAGAAGAAATGCATCATGTTGTGAATTATGTACTCTGAATTTTGATAAAAGTTTGGAAAAATTGTCTGTGCAAGAATCCACTGGTGTAGACTTTACATCGATTCTTGTGTATTTACTTAATATAGCGTTCATGAGGTACATTTTCTCACAAACTCGAGATCTCTCGCGCGTTGGTTTTGACATCTTCACTTGACAGAATAATTCGTATTATTTTCGAGCATCCCTTATTTTTCTTCGATGGTAACTGATTTTGTCGTAGGAAAACCACGTGGATGCCATCCACCCTGGCTACGGCTTCTTGTCGGAGCGCTCAGACTTCGCCGAGGCTTGCATTAAGAACGACATTCGCTTCGTGGGCCCCTCGCCCGAAGTCGTCAGGCGCATGGGCGACAAAGTGGCCGCCAGACAAGCCGCCATCTCCGCAGGCGTCAAAGTCAGTTCATGTAGTAGAAGAAAATCTATTAGCTTTTATGTTAATTGACTTTACGAAATCTCTGCAAAATGTTATGAATGAGCTGGGGTGATTGATTTTTTCTGTTAGGCAGTAATACCTAATTTCGCTAGAATCATCACAAAAAAGTACTGGTTTCTGAATATATTATGCTTTGACGAACTCGCTGGTTGTTAATTTGATGGCGGGCTTGAGCGCAGGTGGTGCCGGGCACTGACCGTCCCGTCACGAACGCTGACGACGCCCACGCCTTCTGCGTCAAGTACGGCCTCCCGGTGATGCTGAAGGCCGCGTTCGGAGGAGGCGGTCGGGGCATGAGGGTCGTCAGGAACCTTGATGTGAGTCCCTTTGAGGGCATCTTTATTTGCTTCGTTTCTGTAACAACGGCGTCAGTACAAGAGAATATATCCTAGCAATAACTGTAAAATACTGGTAAAGTTAAAGCTGGATCTTGGTTGAGGTAGCCTAACGTAAACAAGTTTTATATCGACAGTAAAAATATCCCTTTCTTTCCATTCTCCCTCTCACAGGAAGTAAAGGAGAACTTCACACGTGCGTCATCAGAAGCGAAGGCCGCGTTCGGTGACGGGTCGATGTTCATCGAGAAGTTCATCGAGAACCCGCGCCACATCGAGCTGCAGATCCTCGGCGACCACGCGGGCAACGTCGTGCATCTGTACGAGCGCGACTGCTCCGTGCAGCGCCGCCATCAGAAGCTCGTCGAGGTCGCCCCTGCTCCCAACCTCGACCCTAAGGTCAGCAGGGTGCAAATGTTGGCGTCTCCTTTTTCTTATGGTTTATAAAAAGCTATTTGCGATGACAGCAATTGTGCTGATGTCGAATATCGTGATGAAGAGGTCATCGAGATAAATCGCTTAGTGAATTGCTTCCATGAAATGCTTGTATTTTAGTGTGTAGCCGGGGCCGTGCCATCTTGTATTTTGGTGTGTAGCCAGGGCCGTGCCATCATTATTATCCCATCATGTGCTTTACGTTCATGATGCTATCATCACATCATGTGCCCAGGTTCATGCTGCTACAATTATCATGTCATCACGCGTTTCAGGTCCATGCTGCTATCATGACATCACGTGCGCAGGTTCATGCTGCCATCATTATCATGACATGCGCAGGTTCATGCTGCCATCATCATAATAACATGCGCAGGTTCATGCTGCCATCATCATAATAACGTGCGCAGGTTCATGCTGCCATCATCATAATAACATGCGCAGGTTCATGCTGCCATCATCATAATAACGTGCGCAGGTTCGTGCGGCGATGGCGGCTGACGCAGTGAAGCTCGCAGCTCACGTGGGCTACGCTAACGCCGGCACCGTGGAGTTCCTACTCGACAGCGACGGCCATTATTACTTCATTGAAGTCAACGCCCGCCTGCAGGTCGAGCACACCGTCACCGAGGAAATTACGGGGTCAGCGCTTATCACTTATGTTTATATTTAAAAGAAAATAATTTCTATGTTGTGCTGTTTATACATGGGCAAATTTCTTGTTTGGAATACATCTTTAATCGAGAGAAAGAGTGTGTTTCCTGGTAGCATCATCTAATCAAATAAGCCACAAAGGCTAAGTTTTTAAGTATAAGTTCTACCTATTTTTGATACAGGTTTTTCTTAGATGAGTTCATTCAGTTTAAAATGTAAACGCGGCACTTGATTAAGCTTGACACAAATTCTAGACTCAATTATTTATTAGAATCTAATAGGTCTGAACGGTCTTTATGCGCAGTATCGATCTGGTGCAGTCACAAATCCACATAGCGGAGGGCATGACCCTGCCTGAGCTGGGGATGACCCAGGACAAAATCCACGCCCAGGGCTGCGCCATCCAGTGCCGCGTCACCACCGAAGACCCCGCCAAGAATTTCCAGCCCGACACCGGCCGTCTCGAGGTACTGGCCTGCCACGTGGGCTCCTCGATCTTTCCTGTGCTAGACACAAATTTCTCCGTCTTAATACCTGATCTTGCGATCAATTATCTTGTAATTTATTTGTCATAGATAAATTGCCTGACTAAATTTGTCTGTCGGACATCCTAATGTGCGCCAGAAAGCGTGTAGAATAAGAAATGGAGAGAATTAAATACCTCCGCTTTATCAGTTCATTAACTCCTAAACATTAACGTAGCCTTTGTATCATATTCAATCCTAAGAAGATTTCTGCGAACATAGCCCGAGTGTGAGCCGCCCTGGGCAGGTGTTCCGCAGCGGTGAGGGCATGGGCATCAGGCTGGACGGCGCCTCGGCGTTCGCAGGCGCCATCATCTCGCCATACTACGACTCGCTGCTCGTCAAAGTCATCTCCAGGGCGCCCGACCTCGCCGCCTCCGCCGCTAAAATGAACAGAAGTCTACGGGAGTTCCGCATCCGCGGTGTCAAGGTCACAGAATTTCCTGCTTGCTTCCTTTATATTTCGAATACTTGTTTATTTATATTTCAAATTTCGTTTATATATCTGATAACTAGTGAAATTACCCTGTAGTCAAATTCGCCTTGAGAACCATTGGATTTTTACAATCGATTACGGTCGTAGGTTGATACTGAACTCGTTGTTTTATTAGTTAATCCTCCCGTAGTCTTCCAGTCAAAACGACCCACATTTCTGACCATTTGCCCCGAGGACATTGGATGCATACCAAAACTGAAGACAACAGGAGGATTCAACTCGAATTTCGTGCCAATTGTGAATGTTTGACGCCTTTTAATATTGTTCAGACGAACATTCCCTTCCTGCTGAACGTGTTGGAGAATCAGAAGTTCCTGAACGGAACCATCGACACGACCTTCATCGACGAGCATCCCCAGCTCTTCCAGTTCAAACCCACCAAGAACAGAGCGCAGGTCGGCTCTCTAATTCAGTTCTCCATTGCTTCCATGTTGAGTTTGTTTGTGGTATTTCGATGGTCCGTATATGAACCCCAGCCAACAAAAAACATGTTCTACCTACACGTTAAACAAATGTTTAATGCATCAAAGTTCATGTTATTTGATATAAGAGTAGCGCTACCCTAATTTCTAGAGAAATTGATTTGATAACAGCGTTACCGAGCTTTGAAAAATTGACTATCATTACATCTACTAAGATTAAGAGAACGGTTATTTAGGAATTCGTTTATCAATATCATTCACGGTGTTTATAACTCGGGGAATGCAATTCAGGCGCATGTTCTTAAATTGGATATTCACCAAATATATTGACCATATATTGCATGCATTGAGCTTTGAATGTCCTACATTTCTACTGTTCTGAACTTGATCAGGAAATAATACTGTAAGCACAAGTTACGTTGCAGTGTTTGGTCACCATGCAATTTTGCTGCGTGTTCAGAAACTGCTGAACTACCTGGGACACGTGCTGGTGAACGGCTCCCTCACGCCCCTGGCCACCGACCTCAAGCCTTCGGATGCCAAGCCGTCCGTCCCTGCCACCCCCATCGGTAAGATCAATAGCCATTATTTCATCCATGCCTTCAGTCTTGAATGTTTTCATCAATAACAACATGTGTAAAAACGATGAACTGCATTCTACCCGTATACTCTGTTAATGTGGTGTTTGTATCACGATGTTTGTGAAGTGTTTGTCGGTTCTTATTTTCTGACGGAATGCGCGCTGATTTTTTATGTTTAGATTCTACGTTTGTTGTGACTTTCTCTTTTTTACGTATGCCCTGCGGTGCGAATTGCCCTCTGTAATGATTTGAATATTTCAGCTTTCGTTGAACTTTAATTATTTAAGTCGGGAAATTTGTTAAACATCGATAACATCCACGTGATGGTTAGTTGTGAAGAAAGAGGATCGTTTTGATGCATTTTGTGAAGTGAATTAATTATACTGTGTTCTATATCAGCGTCTAGCTCGAGAAAAGCTTTTAAAGGTCAGTTTTCTTCCTACTTCCTGCCACTTTTTAGTTGCACATGAACTATTCCTATTACAATTTTTCTTACAATAATTTATATTTTATAACAATCATATGAACAATTCTTATTGATCTTGATAATTCGAGTCCCAAGAATTATTGGATGACGCACAACGTTCAGCAATGTCGCTAGCTATGGATTCATTAATTTTATACGTTGTCACGTATTTTCAAGCCTCATCGAATGTTTTGAAATTAATTAGTTTTAATCTAAACGCAATTCAGAATTCGCTTTTCTCATTTATGCTACCCGCTTCCTTCTCACAGCTAATATTTGTTCGTTGTCCAACTGACCAGCACTTCACTATGTCCTCGTAAATTCAACATGAATACAAATCGCTCTGCTCTCTGGTTCACATAAATTGTAGTTATGCTTTAAAAGCCTTCAGTCACTGGGGAACAGAAGAGTTTCAGCGGTTGTCACGTCCAGAGAAACGACACGTGGACTTAAGTACGCTTAATACGCGCGTTGAGAAACGCGTGTTGATTTAAGTACGCTTAAAACGCGCGTTGAGAAACGCGTGTTGACTTAGGTACGCTTAATACGCGCGTTGAGAAACGCATGTTGATTTAAGTACGCTTAAAACGCGCGTTGAGAAACGCGTGTTGACTTAAGTACGCTTAATACGCGCGTTGAGAAACGCATGTTGATTTAAGTACGCTTTATGGGATTAATTAGGCTTACTCCGGATGCACGAGGTTGCGTTCAAGTACTAAATATACTAGGATAATAATCCCTGTGTTGTGATGGCTTGACCGCGGTGAAGTGCATCCTTGTAACTTCATTTGTTTTTCTGGTCAAAAATATGTCGCTGCTTGAGGGATGTGACATTTTCTGCTTGTGATCATTTATTTTGCTGAGATTTATATTTTAATCTTAATGCATGTCAAAGAAAACACAGCAACTGAAAGTATTAATATTGCCAGTTGTGTCGTTTCAGATTTATAAATGAATTACCGACCTCCTAACACATTAGCTACATCATCACTGCCTGCTAATCATATCATTTATATATTTTTAACCTTGTGTGCTCGGGTAATTTTCTACTGATAGAAACTCTTTGAATAACGAATCAATATGAATAGCCCTCAATTCTCTGATTATGCCAATTATTTGCTATCTATAATCCAACTCGCTGTTAGTGGAGCAACTCACTGCTTCCATAAACTATTCAATCCTTCTGACTGTTGGTCCTCTAGAATGAGGAAATCTTGAATTGTGCAATATCCTGCAGGAAACGGCGTAGACTCTTGCTTAGGAATCGTTTGCATGCAGCGACAGATCCTACCGAGGGTCTGAAGCCTGGATAATCTGTTGGATCATTCGGATGATTCGCAATTAGGATGTGTAATAATTTGATATCCTGCAGGATACAGGGTAGTTTATTACTGATGAATTATTTGTATGCAGCGACAGATCCACCCGAGGGTCTGAGGACCGTGCTGAAGCGCGAGGGTCCTGAGGGCTTCGCGCGCGCCGTGCGGCAGACCAAGAAGCTGCTGCTCATGGACACCACCTTCAGGGACGCCCACCAGAGCCTCCTCGCCACCAGGGTCCGCACGCACGACCTCCTCAAGGTGAAGCTTTTCCTCAATAACTCAGATTATTGGATGGAATCTTCCTGCGTTAAATCAGTATGAGTTCTCTCAATGGGGTGACAGATCTAACATAAATATCTGCCTTCAAATTTGAATAACCGGCTGTTGAATTTCAACAAGTCAGGCTGTTGATTGGTCTCCAGATTATTCATAAAAATATAAAACAATCTTTATTATGGTTATTCTACTCGAGAGTATGCGCCGTGCAACTTACCTTTTTAACACGTTTTTCTTAGCTTAGCTTCGCGTTTGTTTGTTTGTTTGTTTGTTGTTAAAATTGACAACGAAAATTAGCCCACTTCTGATTGTTCTAGAGATCTGAAATTCGGCATGTAGGCTATTTTCGCCTAACAATTTCAGATACAATCATATAAACTAGCATTTAGAGACCTAAATTAGCTTAATTGAGTAAAGTATGTATAAATAGTATATATATAGTATGACGAGCAGGCGCTTACGCTGCGTATCATCGATACGCACGTCAAGGCAAGTAAATTGGCTCGCAACAACGTTTTTCATGTGTAGCAACGGACTAAAAAGGAGAAAATAAAATACTTAAAAAAAACTTCTTAAAAAACCACGCTTTTCTTGTGGACTAAAAAGAAAAAAATTAATTATGGCTTGCCCCAAAAAAACGTGGGTCGGGCTGTACGTTCACCATCAAATTTCCAAAATTCGTGTGTTGTGTGATTTTCGCTTCAATCATAAATCTGCCCGAAACACGTTTTTTTGGGGCAAGCCATAATTAATTTTTTTCTTTTTAGTCCACAAGAAAAGCGTGGTTTTTTAAGAAGTTTTTTTTAAGTATTTTATTAACTCTAATAACCATTAGCTTGCCTCATTAACTAATGCCCACTTAACTCTAATAACCATTAGCCTGCCTCATTAACTAATGCCTACTTGACTCTAATAACCATAAACTTGCCTCATTAACGGCCGGCATGCGTGCAGATATCGCCGTTCGTGTCTCACCGCTTCAGCTCGCTGTTCGCGCTGGAGAACTGGGGCGGCGCGACGTTCGACGTGGCGCTGCGCTTCCTACACGAGTGTCCCTGGGAGCGACTTGAGGACATGAGGAGAGCCATCCCCAACATCCCCTTCCAGATGCTCTTGCGTGGCGCTAACGGCGTCGGTTATACCAGCTACCCTGACAACTCTGTTCACAAGTCAGTACTGACGGCCGTTACATGTAATTTTAGGTATTAAACCTTCTTTACAAATCACATTATTTACGACAAATTTTATTCGTTACTTCAATTTTGTTTTAAAGAAAGGTCAGAATTTATTAATGAGACTAATTATGGATTCCTGCAGATTTTGCGAGCTCTCAGTGCAGGCAGGCATGGACATCTTCAGGGTGTTCGATTCTCTGAACTATCTGCCCAACCTCATTCTTGGCATGGATGCTGCTGGCAACGCTGGTTAGTTCAATTTATTTGTGTTTAAATTCTGAAAATTTGTGGAGTATCATATTGGAAACGTGATTTTTTAACCTCAAAAAATATTCCCGCATTGAAATTGAGCTGAAACGGTCACTGGAACATCAATAGACTCGTTAATCTCCTTAACTGAGCAGGCGGGGTGGTGGAGGCGGCCATCAGCTACTCGGGCGACGTGTCGGACCCCAGCAGGAAGAAGTACACATTACAGTACTACCTCGACCTGGCCGAGCAGCTCGTCAAGGCTGGAGCTCATGTGCTCTGTATCAAGGTACCGTGTGCTGTGTATCAAGGTACCGTGTGCTGTGTATCAAGGTACCGTGTGCTGTGTATCAAGGTACCGTGTGCTCTGTATCAAGGTACCGTGTGCTGTGTATCAAGGTACCGTGTGCTGTGTATCAAGGTACACCTGACCATGCACTTCTTCTCGTCCTTCTATTACCGAATGTTTTCAGTGAATGCTGCTGGACGGCTTCGACGTGTATTCTGCTGGTTGCGTGATGAGTATTTTTCTAATGAGAAAATGTCCGTGTCCAGTTAGCTATGCGAGCCATTTTCCAGCTCTGCTTTTTGTACTCACCGCTGACCTTTGACCGATTGGCCGAGCAATGGTCCTCCGCTCCGCAGTGGACACATCAATGATTTTCACTTCAAAGTATATGCGTACAGTGGCAGTGGGTGGATTAACTCGCATCCCATTTGTGCATGCATGGAGTGAACTGACTAGCATTCATAATATGTGTAAATCTCTTTGAATGAGGTTTCAATCGTTCTCATGTGGGGTAAGTGCCAGTCATTACCCACACAGTAAAACAAGAATGGAAATGAAAGAGACTGGAACTCAGATTTTACTGCAGGGCAAATTAACAAGTAGGTGGGCTTTGAATATAAGTATTAAGATGGAAAAATAGTGTAAAGAATAATACCCTTGGCAACGTGCGTATCTGCAGCGGGGATCAGCCGAACAATAATGACTAACGAGAAAATTCTGTGCGCGACGTTAATTTCCTACCGGTGTTGCCAAGGTAAAGGTAAATCATAATCTTATTACAAAATGAAAGTCGCAAAATGTCTTAACACTACACTCAGTTCAATAACATGATGTCCGATGTTTAAAAAAATGCCTTACTAGTCAACACACTGAAGAAATAGAATTGACCCTCCATTATTATGATCCAAGCTCGCAGTTCAAACAATACTACTAACGTTTAAGCGTCTAGAGAAATAATACGAATCTACCTGATCGTTTATACCTGATTTGTATGCTCTGCTGAGGATACCTTCGTAAATAATTGGCCGCTGTTGTGCAGGACATGGCAGGTTTGCTGAAGCCACGAGCTGCCCAGATCCTGATCGGCGCACTGCGTGAGCGCTACCCCCAGATGCCCATACACGTGCACACTCACGACACTTCAGGGGCAGGTTGGTTACTAGTCTGAATAATATTTTTCATATTTCAACTTGCGTGCACTGCGTTAGCTATCATAAGTTTTGTTCTTTGATGTAGCTGCTACTCGCATCGTTATCTCCTCATCTCGCTTCTTAAACTATAAGAATAAATGTTTTATCCGTGGTCAAAACTGCGACTTTAAATTCACCAAATCCTAATGTTCAGCTTTTATTTTGGTGTGAACAGTTTATACCTTATACCAAGCTCTCTTTTAACGAACGATTTTACCTTAACACAAGCCACGCTGGGTCTGCTTGCAGGTGTCGCGTCTATGCTGGAGTGCGCGCGGTCAGGCGCCGATGCTGTGGACGTGGCAGTGGACAGCATGTCAGGCATGACCTCCCAGCCTTCCATGGGTGCCCTGGTGGCCTGTCTGATGGGTGACCCTTTGGACACGGGGCTGCAGCTGAGCGACATCAGCCAATACAGCGCGTACTGGGAACAGACGCGCACACTCTACGCGCCCTTTGAGTGCTGCGTCACCATGAAGAGCGGCAACGCTGACGTCTACCAGAATGAGATCCCTGGCGGACAGTACACCAATCTACAATTCCAGGCAAGCGACAAATGATGAGGCACATTTTATGGCCTATAAAAGGGCTTTGAAATAGGGAATTGATTACTTTCTGGTTTAACCGTCTCCTATTAATTGATTCAATGGTAGTTTGCTGGTCTTTCTCTTTAGAAGGAAAGCGTCATGAAAATAATGTTGGTCCGACGCACGGATTTATCTGCATGAAGTAACGACGAGCGAGATGATCGGAGGGATATTACAAGAATGCAATCCTATTATGGTTCATGCAGTTAATTAAGCCTGCAGTTTAATATTTCTATTATTGCATACGAGTTTGAATTTTTGAGTACCGATATCAAGCAGAAAATAACGTCGTTGATTGGAAGAATCGTAATTTCTTCTTGAATTTGAATCTCAAGTTCTCATTCTATTTCCTCGTGAGGACGCGAGTGTACGACGGTCAATTTGATGTGTCGTGTGCGTTAGTCACGTTGAATTTAGCTTTTTCCTCTGTATCGGGGGCGAATAAACCTAACTTCTTGTTGCAGGCTTATTCCCTTGGCCTCGGCGATCAGTTCGAAGAGATCAAAGCTGCCTACAAGGAAGCCAACCAACTCATGGGCGACCTTATCAAGGTGCGACACATCCTCCCGTCAAGCACAACCACAACGTCCCAAAATTCTTGAGTTTATATTCGACTTGTAGCTTGAGACTGTCTAGACTCCATTGAGGGTCGAAGATTTTCATCTACAATTGTAACTGCGAAAAATGAGTACAATTTTGATCATGATATTAAAGTATGCCATCAATCTTCCTAAATTAGACAGACTATGCTCAGGTCAAGTGGAATGCACTAGCTTGCTAAGGCTTTAGTGCTCATGGATAGCTTTTTTCGTGTGTTTTCCCTAATAATATTATTATGCATTGCATTATTATATGACACCCTTATCCGCTGTGCAGGTGACGCCCTCGTCGAAGGTTGTAGGCGACTTCGCGCAGTTTATGGTGCAGAACAAGCTTAGCGCTGAGGAGGTGCTGGAGCGCGCTGAGGAGCTCAGCTTCCCCAAGTCTGTGGTGGAGTTCATGCAGGGCTACATCGGGGAGCCATACCAGGGCTTCCCTGAACCTCTTCGCTCCAAGGTGCGTTCAATGCATGCGTGAACACTAATTAACTTAATTCGTGTTCAACCATCTGGATTCGTGACTTGCAAATGGCTTCTTAATTAAAGTGATTTTTTTACCTTCTTTTTGTGATCGAGTCGTAATTTATATTTTCATGTTCGTCATTTTCAATCGAGATTGTTAATAACAGTGAAATGAATTTCTAGTGTAGAATTCATCATTCAATACGCTGGGAAATTTGCTGTCGTGTGCATATTAAACTTTTCCATTTATTTGCTAGATCCTGAAAGGTCTGCCGACCGTCACGGGACGTCCTGGCGAAACTTTGCCTCCGTTCGATTTCACCGCCGCTAAAGAATCCTTACAAGAAAGACTCAAGATCCCTGTGTCGGACTACGACGTCTCGAGCTACTCCATGTACCCCCAGGTGCGTCGCGTGCGAACCACTGTGTCCGTCTTCTGGACCATCAGCAACTGAGCCAAGATGGTGACCTCATATTTAGCTCCAATATACCTTGTATTGTTTTAGTTTATAATCTGTTTTAGTTTGCCAGCACTGATACACTAGTCGAATCATATTAGCGTTTAGTGTTCCCACCTAACGCTTTTGCTTTTAGGTACTGGGTGCAAAATCAGATTTTATTGCCATTTCCGCATATTGGCTTCTTTATGAAACTACGGTTTAGTTCATGAAACGAGAAAACTGTCGCCCAGCACTAACGGTACATTAATAATTCTGCTCCATCTTCCTTCAAGTGCACTCGCGTTAGTCCTCGCCAGTCGTTAGTCTTAAGTCAAGTGATCCCAGGCCATCATTCAATACGTGTTTCTAGAGGTTGAACATGAAATTGTCTATTTGTAAAAACTGAAAGAAAATTATTTCAATAATTAATGAAATTAAGTGCTTACAAAATAATTGACCATTTGATGCGGTTGATGGACGGAAACGTTATGATGTCTCCATGTATTTAATGTATTTAATGAAAACGTTTTCCTTTATTCAAGGTGACGGAAGAATTCCTGCAGTTCCGCGAAAAGTATGGCCCTGTTGACAAGCTAGACACTCGCATATTCTTGACTGGACCAAAAGTTGGCGAAGAGTTTGAAGTGGTGATCGAAAAAGGCAAAACTTTGCATATCAAAACCCTGGCAATGGCTGAGGATCTCACAGCGAGCGGTGAACGCGAAGTCTTTTTCGAGTTGAACGGGCAACTGCGGTCCGTCTTCATTAAAGACCAGGAGGCGGCCAAGGTAACGGGTTCTCCTGGTGATCTCGGGACATCCTTAACAAGTTATTTATGATTTTAGGATCGAAGTTGCCCACAACTAGGCATTCTCCAAGTGGCAGCAAATTTCATATTTTGTGAGGTTCTTTGAAGATTTCAATTTTCGTTTTAAGACATGTTTACGGCAACTTTTAAAATCAAATCTTTGCGTTACATGCTTGAATCTGTGAAACTTTAAACGCTAATAACTGCGTTTTACCAGTAAAATAATTTTATTTTATGAATCAAGTTGACAAAAATGCTGCGCAGGAGATCCACGTGCACCCGAAGATAAACCCTGGCGCGGTGGGTGAGCTGGGCGCCCCCATGCCTGGCACGGTGATGGAGGTGCGGGTGAAGGCGGGGGATGAGGTGGTCAAGGGACAACCGCTGCTCGTGCTCAGCGCCATGAAGATGGAGACGGTGGTGCAGGCCCCCGCCAACGCCATCATCTCCAAGGTGCTCGTCGCCAAGGACATGAAGCTTGAGGGCGATGACCTATTGCTCGTTTATGAACCGAAATAAGAGTTGGTTGTCTCTTGTATGCTCTACAAAATGTATTTAGCGTTATCGTTTATCATAGCTTACGTAAATGCCTCTGAGTATAGAAGCCCAAGTTGTAATAGTATATGAAAAGTCTAACTGATACTGCCTAAAATAGAGTTTTTAACCTGCGAGTATTTTTTTCGGAGATAAAGTAGTAAGTTGCACTGCTAGTGTTTGTGCAAGTAGCGTAGGAAAAACTTAATAGTATGGCCGATATGATCGTACGTCTTAGTGTAATAAGGCTGTCGACAGTTAAATGTATATGCTGACGCCTGTGTATGACAAGTATGGCTGGTGCCATAACGCCATTGCGCACGAGCTGGTGTTAAGAGTTAGAGGTGGTGCCGCCTTTGGTGTTAGAGTTGGAGGTGGTGCCGTATATAAGTGGCTCAGATAAATAGATGAGCAACTGTCATGCTTCCAGCCACTCCAGCCTTTACTAGCTCATAGGAATGTAAGAGTAAGTAAACCGAGGATACACATTCCAGGATAAGTTGGATTCAAACACCGAATTTGTTATTAAAATAATATTGACATTTTTTACAATTGGTTCCGTCTGACAGTCCAGGTTTACCACAGAACGACCCAAGCTATTAACATTTGGACATATCTATTCAAAATTTGCGTTATTTTCACTCAATGTCTTCCATTTTTGGGAGGCTTTGTACTACTTTCTATTTAGCTTCAGACTACTCCACATTTGTACTCATGACAGCCACCTTTCGTCAATCCAAAGCCTAGGCATTGCTTGCGCTGGTTGCCATGAAAGTTTGTCCCCTCCATTGGTGCTGTTGCGCATTATTGTATTATTTAAGAACATGGTTGTGCTTGCGCTCAATATTTTTTAACACTGAAAGTTCTACATATTGAGCTGTATTAATATAATGAAAACGATTATGTCTGTGCTTTTACTAGAACTGAATCATTTTGCGTTTTCTCCTTTCATTTTATTTTGCCTTGCTAACATATTTTTTTCAATGAAGGAACGAGCATAAGGTCGATATATTATAAATTTTATGAATCAATGCTGCAATACAAATTGTTGAAGAATTATTTCTTTGTATGAACAATTTCCCTCACATTGGTCAGTTCTGCACACTGAAATAATTATTTCTTGAAACCTGCGTTGTGCAGAAATGGCGCAGTTGGTCGCCATTGATTGACATGTCATGTGTTCTATGCTATCTTTCTTGGTAGTCACCGTAGGTTCAGTGATATCTTCTTCAGTACATATTTCATTTTATCTTCTGTAGCATTACTGGCGATTACATCAATGTCAAAAACCTTGGAGTACTGTAACCTAATTTCAAAATACCGTACCAGTTTAAACAATAACGTATGTAAGATTTTGATTGTTATTAAATCTGTGAGATATTACACCTGTATGGTGAGACTGGAAAGAGTTTCTGCCGCTTAATCGGGCCCTGCCACGCTGTGTTAATGCAGAGTTCTTCAAATTGAGCTTAGGAAAGCTAGAGCATTGTAGTTGTCCAGATTATTCCTTCAAAGTTTATTAATAGTTAGTTGCTATAAATTTCTTGTATGTAATCAACTGATCTTCCATCCTTAAGCATAAGCCATGTCTATATTAGTACACGTTATTGTAATGTTAATCGCTCGGAGCTGATAGAGTGAGCTACTTTTGACGGCCGTTGTGCTGTGAATAAATCCGAGCTTTGTATGGGGTGTCTGCTCTTTCTTCAATAAATTTTATGTTACAGTTGAAGTCTAAGCATAATAATGACTTATTTCCACAATCATTAGTTTCTATTATCATTTACTCGTCTCGTTGAATTGATTTTGCAACTGACACGTTCACGCGGTGAGTTATCCTCAAGCTTGCATGAAAACTCGTGAATTGTGTACAATCGTGATTACCTAATTAATTATAACGTGAATTCTCAACAGTTTAGTCATGCGTTAGTGGAACAACTCTCAATGCAAGAGGCCTCTCTTCTAATGCGAAGCTAGATTTAAATTATCAGCATCATTTTGTTGAACAAAATAGTGACTCCAAGCATCATATTTCACTGTAATTATCATTTTAACTTCCTTCTACCTACGTGTGATGAAACGAGTTCATTATTATCAATGTTCACATTTTCGATGAACTTGGCACACAGTCACATGGCGGCAGACAGAATCATATCACAGTTGAGAGAAACCTTGAAATTAAACGTGAAAAAGAAAATGACGTTTCGTTTTACGCTAAGGACTCATTCACATGTAATTTAGATTATAGAAAAAAATTCGAGTACAGCTTGAGAATACCGCCCTTACAGACGTTTTTATTGGAATGAATGTGTATTTGAAAATTTCAATACTTACTAGTTGAAAAATTATTGTGTATGCATCCTAAATTTTGTGTTATTATTTTTACCATTAAGAAAATTCATTGGTGTGAATACCAGAGAATGCGTTCCCAGCACAGCCTTGGCAGGGTGTCTCAACGAGGGTACTGACTAAAACCCGGACCCGATCGTTCCGCTGTACCAGGTTCGCAATAATGAAGAGGCTGCAAATCATCTGAAACGTTGAGAAAACTTTAAATTTTACATATAAAATTTTCATATGTAGATAAATTTCGTCGCACCGGTACACGAGGGTCACAGAAAAGTGCATTTTTCGATCGAAAAAATCAATAGATAATGTTTTGAAACGTCCAGAAAACGTAAAACAATTTTATTTAATTTTTGTCAATTTACTTGGAAAAATTTTATGTCAGGTCCGCCTGACCCCGGACCTTGTGACTAAAACCCGGACCCGGACCCATGTATTCGGGTCACAGAGAAGTGTATTTTTCCATCGAACTATTCGACTGAGAATGTTGGTGCTAAGCTCCCGTGAGAGTAGCCGGCTTCGGCCGGCTGCTACGTCAACCTTTCTAGAACTATCTAGTATCTTTCTCGAACTTCGAAAATGCCGTACTGTCCCGCTCCGAGGCGTTGAGCCGGCGGATGCCATGGTACGACCAGCTAAAGTGAAGTTTAACTCCTGAAGTTCTGCTCCCCTGAAGTTGCCAAATTCGTTATTTTTGTGCTCCCCTGAAGTTGCCGAATTCGTTATTTTTGTGCTCCCCTGAAGTTGCCAAATTTCGTTACAAAAATTTTAAGATGCCTCCATGTGTGGTTAGTACCCCCGGGTTCGTGGTTAGTGCCCCCAGGTGAGTGGTTAGTGTCCCCAGGTAGTGGTTAGTGTCCCCAGGTGAGTGGTTACTACTGTGTTAGCACTCTAAGACTATTTTGTATTGAAAAACCGCTTGCACGACGACTGCTGTGAGCCAGGCAGTGTTATCTAGACTGTCAGCGTGGGAGGCATAGTGGCAAAGCAGAGAGTTTTTTAGACTCTCCCTCAAGTTCATTTTTGAGTCCTATAAGTAGACCAATAAAGTATCCTGGATACCAGCATTATCATACATAAGAAATTGGCTTAAATCTTGAGTAAATGATGAAATTAAAAATGAACTGATTCTAAAAAAGCTCTGGTTTGCCACTATGGTGGGAGGTTGTCTGCCGTGCGCACGGGGGCTGCGAACAGCAAGCCGCCACTCCTCTAATTTAAGTTCGGCGTTCCCAAAACTCAAATTACCAAGGTAATTTAAAATTGATATGTAATTGCACCATGTTCTGGAACCCTTCAGCCATTGAGAAATCTTGAGTTATTTTTTTTTCAATACACCCAATTTTGTACAAGAAAACATAATTCAGTTAAGTTCCTTCAACTGTTCTGACATGGGGCTGCATTGAACCAGTCTTCAGAGGCTCCCATAAATTCCAATTAAAGAAAAAAAAAAGACTGAGAATGTTCTGAGACGTCCAGAAAACATGAACATTTGTATCGAATTTTTGTCAATTTACTTGTATGCGAGCCTGCTGACCTGCACCTGTGCCTACTGCCTGTATTAAAAAATGTGCATGTGCATCTGTTTTCAGATCGCAGAGATAATCTCTATCAGTAGAATAAACTATAACAATATTATCTGTTTTAACTGTAGGGCAGATTCAGAACTAGAAGCGCTATAGATTGTGCGCCAGGGCAAAGAGTTCAGCTCGCGAGAGTTGCTGACATTGCATTAATTGAAGCCATGAGCTTATCTTGCCAAAATGCTTGAAACTTGGGTGATAATCGAAATTAAATTAATACTGGTTAAGGATAAAATCACGCAATTTTATTTTTAAAGACGTTCTGGAGCAATCTTGTTTGAATTCATCTGTCTATTTGTTAAAATATTTGACACAATTAAAAACGGTACCGCTTCTTTCTATTTCAAAACGAACCGGTGGGAAGTTAAATCGAACGCCCATGGTGTTGTGGGAATGTTGGGGAACAAGAGAGGCGAAAGCAGATTTAAAAATGTTCATCATGGTAAAGTGTTATCTATATTCATGAATTTTCAAAGTTAAAATCTGAACATGTCAAGTTTTAAAATTTTCCACTGCCTATATACAGTGGGGGGAAATAAATATTCGTACACTTGAAAAATCGTATTTTAATGTATGTAAATACACAAACTTAACAGGAAAAGTGATTTAAATTATGTATAGAGATACTTTTTTCACCCGAAAAGTGAACATGTTGCATTGTTTTTTGTTGCATTGAGATTTAATTTCTTTTGATAGTATTTTTTAATACTATGCATCTCTATACATAATTTAAATCACTTTTCCTGTTAAGTTTGTGTACTTACATACATTAAAATACAATTTTTCAAGTGTACGAATATTTATTTCCCCCCACTGTATTTGGCTAGTGCATGCCAAGGGAATAGTATCATCATCATCCCTAACCCTAAGCATAGAACGCAACGATTTATTAAGTAATGTGATGACCCGTGTTTTGTATTGAAATGTCCACCCCCCCAGATTACTATAAAGTGCTTCATAGTTTTGATAAGGACAATACATAGACAAGCGTTTTTAATGAAGAGAAAGTTAAAACATTTCATAAAGCACGGAAAACTCCGTGGACTTTACTCAGCCCTCAAAAGACTTGGTTAATGTGTTTATTGAATGAGATCTTGTTGCCTAGGATTAAACCAAGATACCTGAATTCATCGACACATTGTAATATTGTCCCATTAAAGGTGATGTCAAGTAAAAATGAAAAATAATTTTGGAGTAAAAAGCATCAACTTGGTCTTGTCTGTATGCGCCACTAGCATGTTTGCAAGTAGCCATCTTGACAGATTCAATGACAGCACTGATATATTATATATTATCGTACGCGTCACCGTACGAGTTTCTCGAGACATAGAACACGGCATCGTTGGCAAAAAGCTTACAGTTCACATTAATAGATGAGGCGATATCATATAGTATAAAAATATCAATGAAACCTTATTCAAAGTATTATTGAAGTTATTATTCAAAATATTTTTAAAATTAATATTGAAATTATTATTCAAATTAATGATGAGATTATTTTTCCAATTATTATTAAAATTCTTATTGAATTTATTAATAAAAGTACTATTGAAATTAGCCTAATGTTAGCATTATTATTGCAAGTAGCGTTTAAATTATTAGTGAAATTTTTAGTGAAATAATTGTTGAGTTACTATTGTAATTAGTGTTAAATTTACTATTGGAATTATTTCAATAATATTATTAAGAATATTTTAATAATAATTTTGATAATAAGTTTGAGAATATTTTGAATAATAATTTTAATAATCATTAGGTTGTACACAAGAGGCTCTACACGAGAGGTTGTACACGAGAGCTTGTGCACAAGAGGTTGTACACGAGAGGTTGTACCCAAGAGGTTGTACCCAAGAGGTTGTACACGAGAGGTTGTACACAAGAGGTTGTACATGAGAGGTTGTACACAAGAGGCTGTACACAAGAGAATGTACACGAGAGGTTGTACACGAGAGGTTGTACACGAGAGGTTGTGCACGAGAGGTTGTACACGAGATGTTGTACACGAGAGCTTGTACACAAGAGCTTGTACACGAGAGCTTGTACACGAGAGGTTGTACACAAGAGGTTGTACACCAGAGGCTGAACATAGGATTTTGTATACAAGAGGCTGTCCACTAGAAGCTGTACACGAGAGCTTGTACACAAGAGGATGTACACAAGACGCTGTATTATAAACGATAATCAATGGGTGAGCAAATTTCATCATTAACGTCCTACGGATTATCCACGTGACACCTACACTCAGAAATTAATATACAAATATTAGTTTAAGAAATTAATATACACTCAGAAACAATACATGCATTGTTCTTACAGTGAACCACTTTCTTACCAACAGCTTGATTAGAGAGCGGAAGTAGCACTTACAGAACATATTGTTTGGTCAAATTGAGTCACAATCACCCATCATGGGCAAAAGTGCAAGGTTATTTGGGCAAGTTATCATACATTTCTCTGTGTATCGATCGATAGACCTGTGCAGTGGTTCATGAGCCGGACCTCCTTCAGGAGTAAGAATATATCGAAAAAAGTAGCGAACTTAATATCATATGTAAGAAAGTAGAGAACTTACCGTTATTCTTTAGAAACTGATAAACTTAGCTTTATATATAAGAAAGTAAGGAACTTTACATAATATTTATGATGGTAAACAACTTAACATTAATCATAAGAAATTAAAGAACTTGACATTATATTTAAGAAATTAAGGAATGGAAAGGAAATGTAGAAAGAAAAGAATTTAACATTACTCCCAAGAAAATATAGAACTTCACTCGCCTCTGCTTTAGGTAGGCATCTATGTCTTTCAGGGGGTGGGAGTCAACCTTCTTCAG